GGAGAACATTCCTTCGCAAAAAAAAATCAAAACGTCAGAACTGTTTGTCAGCTGACTGGTGGATGATGCAGTGCTGACCAAAGCAAACGGAAAGGCTACCAAATGCGAAAATGGAGATACAAACAATGAATTAGCTGCCGCTCCGGGTAAACAGCAAATACGAGACAGGTGTCTGTTCTTCTCAACAAATGCGTTTTTATTGGTCAATTTAAGTTTTTTTTTATCCTATTTTGTGCTGTTTTAACTTTCATCACTTCCCGCACGCAGCTGATTTAAGTATTAAGTCAAGTGATTAAGGCTTTTAAGGCATTAAACATGCTGAATCGTTACTGAAGTTCAAAATCAAAGCAGACGTACTTGAGCCGGCATTTTGACGCTGAATGGCTGACCTTCTATGGCTTCAGTAACCTTCTCGTTATCCAGAATTTCACGATCGACTTTTGGAATAATCCTTGTCTAAAATAAATCACTATTTACAACAATCAATTTTTTTATTAACTATCACATTCAGTCAGTTTATGATGCTGTTTGATGCCTACTTATGCACTTGTGGAGGCAAACTGAAAAAAATCTGCTATCAGTAGATTTTTTTCAAAAATGCTTACTTGATCACAAAGTGAGCCATCGCGGTTCGCTGGACAAACACATATGGCTCCAACACAATATCCTTTACACTCTGCCTGATTGCATTCATTATATAGAGTGAAATGTATCTACAAGTGGATGAATTCACAAAACCCAGGTGTATTCATAAGCCGTTTCGATGAACCAAAATTAACAAATATTCTCTGTGAATCCGAGAATTTGTGCTATAGCTGCGCAGACTTTGCCTTCTTGAATAAATTCAAAATTTCACGCATTCCGGCAAGCACGGGGCGCACTTAAAATTGACCTGTGAAGAGTACCATTGAAGGATACCAAAATACTGCAGTGTATGCCTTACTTGAGAATAAATTATCGATTTGTATTTCGTAAAGTATTGGTAAGCGAATGAAAAATCCCTCTAAAAAGTACTACGTACCAGACGTCTATCCAGAAATGGGACTGCTCTATCGGAACCGTACGGAATGACATTGAACAGATATCGACCCGGGAGAGCCATATCCGGAATTTTACAGCGTACCAACGAGGATGAGGTGTAGAAGCCGTCCGATGCTGTGCTGCCGTAAAGACACGTATAACGCTTTGATGGTACGCTAAATACAAAATGTTACGCAATAATAATGGAAGAGTGGATAAGTACAACAGAAACTTGACATGACTTTGCGTTTTTACTATTTTTTTAACGAATGTGCGCAACCCTTTAGAGCTAGAGCGTATGGAAAAGGCTGATCTAAAGTTTCGTGGTGACACTAATGGCTCAAGTGGGTGGTTATAGATGTGGGGCTGGATACTTGGAAATAACGAGTGTCGATACTTTGGAACCATGCCCTAGCCTCTTCTGGAACTATAGCTACTCAGCTAGTGTACTTTGAGGAAGAAGGTGACCACATAAATGACCTTCAGAGAAGTGGTTATGTGCGTGGTGCAGACCTTGAATAATAGCTGTAGGCTGTTAACTCAAGACACAGGGCTGTGTACGAAGTGCAATAGCAACCCGAGAAGTCAACGTCCCTTCCGATTGTCCAAATAATTTTTACGACAATACAGCTCCCTCCAATGGTCCGATTTTTCTGGAAGAAAATACAAACTCACAAAGGTAAATCATTGCCAAAGACCAAAATGTCGTGATCTTTTTGATGAATTCCAGCAGCAGTAGGCAAGACATAAAGCACAACCGAAAGGGCATTACACTTTCCAGTAAAGCAAGTGTCGCAGTTAGGACCAGTCCAGCCACTACGGCATGTACAGGTCCTGAAATCATTACTGTTGTTCATTTTGTACGTATGTTCATTCATTATTTATAAATTATTTTATTACTTCAGTTAAAAAATTTTTCAATTCAAGCAAAGCAATCCTTTTTTTGGCATTTTCGCAGAAGCCGGATGAATTAACAGAAAACCCAGGCTGGAACGCATCAGGCGGGCCGGAGCGATTATGCGTTTTTGCACTTTTCGTACCCTAGCAAGATCGCAAGGAGTCAGTGTAGCTAACCCT